CCAGTGGTGTACATGCCTGTGCCCTGACGCAAGCTCTCCCGCCACCTTCTCTTTGGACTTGGTGTGTCCTCCCCACAGCGCTCTAAGCTTGGATCCAGGATGCTGCTCCCCACCGGTGGAAAGAGATGTGCCAGTTCCTGACCCCTGTGCAAGCGGCCCTTATGGTCTCTTTAAGTGGAAGGGGATAGCTATGGCTTCAGGGCTTGGCCAGCATACTGCAGGCTAGATTTCAACTCCTCTCACACCCTTTCACAGTATGCAACCTGCACAAGTGTCCAGTGGTTGACTTGGCTCACAGGGACTTCTCTCTGGCTTGCCTCTCCATTAGTATCCAGTCCTTCTCTGCCACACCCTGTATTCTCTACCAATGGATGGCTCCAGGGGGACACTTGCATAGGGTCCATGACTTCACATCACCCTGCCTTGGTGGCTCTTTAACATACTCTTCTCAGCTCAGCCAGCTCCTGTTCTGAACCACTGGGAGTGTCTCCTCCTGGAAGTATTTCTGTGCCCTTGCCTGCACCCTTCCTGCCTCCTGCAGCCCCTGGGAACCCCTGTGGGCACTCACTGTGCGCACATCTGTCTGCAGATGTGGGCAGGGATCATCTCTGTCATCTCGGTGGCCTGCCCCAATGCTGGATCTGGCAATAGAACAGGAAATTGAGTTAAACAGGGAAAATGGCTTCAGTCTCAGCGAGTGCTTGATAGGATAAAATGAGTCCACCCTGATGATTCATTTGTTCGTGATTCACTGTGTCAACAAATTCTTTCAGAACACAGTGTGTGCCAGGCGTGTGCTGGCCGCTGGGGCACAGCGGCAGGATGGACACTGTTTGTGCATATTGGTAGCTCCCACTCCTAGCTTCTGCATACGTCACTGGGTCTGGAAAATGGGAAACCATGATTCTGATGGGGGACAGTGATAGAGGAAAGGAAAGAGGCCTCCAGGAGCCTAAAGTAGGTCTAATCAGGAAGTGGTGGGGGTGGAGGCTCATGGTCCTGGGAGCTGAAGGAGATCCCTGGAGTGTAGCCAAGGCCTGGGACTGTTCCCTGCACACCCATGACCTTGAAGAGCCCGGACTTGGAGCTCAGGACTCCCAGGCTTGCTCTCTTGGACCGGGCACTGTCCCGCTGGGCTTCCACCTAGAGAGAGAGAGCTTAAGCCTGCAGGAGACTTCAGCCCCCAGGTCTGATCTGATTCCAGGGGCAGCAGGGTTGCCCTAAGCACAAACCCCTTGCTGTTGAGTACAGAACCAGGGACAGCCAGGACCCTTTTCTGGGTCAGGGCCAGGCTGCCTGATAAAACTGGAGGAACCCAGCTGCTCACCCAGCACCGCTGGCATTGCCATTTTAATAAGCAAGTTTGGGAGATTCAATTAAGATTGGGAGCCTCATCCTTCTTCCAGGGAGGCCTCACAATTGGCGTTTTTCTTTTCGAGAGCGTGAGTGGGCCCTTTGCAAGGGTTTTTGTACAGCAAGTAGCACAGAGAGAAAAAGGAGAAAACCACTTTGCCTCAAAGATGTCAATAACAGTGGATTTCTTTTCCCGGGCTCCCCACGGAAGCTTGTCAACAGTCCAGGCATAATCGGGCCGGCGCTGGCCTGCACAGACAGAGGACGTGTGCTGCTTTGTTAGGACGGCCTGAATAGGATGTCCCTGCACCCAGACCTGGCCTCTCGGCGAACAAAGGGCCCCTTTGTCACCCTGGGCCGAGAGTGCTGCCGAGGTTGCCACAGCAACTCAGGGACCCAGACTTAACGTGCAAGTGACATTTCAGATGGGAAGTGCGCATTCAAAAATTCAAATTTCTATATGTGGAGTGGTTTCCTTCCCTGGAGATTCTGGAAAGACCTATATAGCAAACCAAAGCAAAAAATAAACAATAAATACATAGGCAAGCCAGCACACAGATCATTGCAATTCAGCCCGCGGGTTCCTCCTCTGTTGGTGGAAAACTTGGTGGAAAGCCTTGTTGAGGGCGTTACTGGGGTGGGTGAGGGGTCCTGCGTGAGCTTTGGGTTGTTGTTTTATCCAACAGACAATTGGACACCATTCAAGTTTGAAAATAAAATCACCTGGAATTCCATCTGCTGGACACTGGGCACTGTTTCCTCGCCTCTGTGTCTGTGTTCCCCGGGCACTTGCGCTGCTTGCTGGCCAGGAGCTGGGGTGGGGCCCGCGCACCCAGCTCTTACTCTCCAAGGTGGACGTGTGATCTCCACACAGTGCAACATGTGACACAGCCTTTCCTGGGCACCAGGCGGTCGCCCGACAGAGGCCGTGACCAGCGCTGCTTGGGCAGAGGGTGATGGGGAAAAGAGAGTCAGGCCCAGTCAGGCTGCAAAGCCAGTGCCAGCACTTGGTCGCAGATGAAATGAGCGAGGCAGGGGGAGAAGAGGGCAGGCAGGGAGGAAGGCCACTCTGCATTCCTTTATTTATTTAGTTTTTAAAGGTCTGTTTATTTATTTATTTTTTTGAAAGTCAGAGTTACACAGAGAGAGGAAACGCAGAGAAAGAGTGAGGTCTTCCATTGACTGCTTCACTCCCCAGTTGGCCACATTGACCTGAGCTGCACTGATCCAAATCCAGAAGCCAGGAGCTTCTTCCAGGTCTCCCCCATGAGTGCAGGAGACCAAGGACTTAGGCCATCTTCTACTGCTTTCCCAGGCCATAGAAGAAAGCTGGATCGGAAGTGGAGCAGCCGGGACCCATATGGGAACTGGAAGCAGTGGCTTTACCCACTATGCCATGGCACCGGCCCCTCTGCATCCCTTTAAAGGGGAGAGCCTGGTAAGCAGCAGAAGGCAGCAGGTGTAGAGATGCTGACAGAGTCCCACCATCGCACACGCGATGTTTTCCCTCAACGCAGTGTTGTGACAGTTTAATAAACTGCGTTGAGAGCAATGAGCAGTGAGCACCTACAGACCCACCACCTGGACTCCCCATGGGTGTTTGTTCTCCCGGCTTGATCACCTTGATCCATGGAGCCATTTCTCTACCCAGCCATCGAGCCCTCTTCTTTGGGGGGTGGGGCAGACATCCTCTCACTCCCCATAAAATGCTTCGGCATGCATGGCATCAGAGTCCAACGTTTCCTTATGTTTTCTCTTGATCTGAAATTCCCCTGCAAGAAAACGTACGAATCTGAACTGTACATTTGCTGAAATTTGCTGAATGCTTCTGCCGGCGTAACCTCCACTGTTACCCAGACATGGAACATAGGATCATCCCAGCAAGTTTGCTGTGCGCCCTGCCAGGCAGCAGTCGTGGGATCCAGGCATTTGCTTCTCCCTTACCATTATAGCAAAACGGCTTTCCTGCCTTCGTGATGACTTATTCCTCTGGGAACTCACTCAGTTGGTTCTTCTGTCACCCAGGGTCTCCACTGGCCCAGGCCCTGGGGACGTGAGCCCACGGGAGACCGTGGGAGAATGCGCTGGAGCATCGGGGTCTGAATCTCAGGGCCACAGCTTTCCAGGGCGAGTCACCACCTCTCCAAGCTCCCTTTCCTTGGCGACACAGATTTTTGGGTGGATTCTCTGAGATGTGCACACATGTAGCGTCCAGTAAGTGCTCGATCTACGTAGTTGTCCCGAGAGAGGCCACGGCTGAATGGCTGCTGGAAGCACTCCAGGACTTTGGAACCCTTCTCTTTCTCATGGCCGTCGACTAAACTGCTGTTTCTGTCCAATTTGAGGCATGAAAAGTCCCACTTCTCTGAGTGTTTTGGGGCCCAAAAAATTTAGGCTCCTGGGGCATGACTTCCTAAGGCCCAGAATCTGGTATCTTTTCTTTTCAGGTTCTTGTCCTCATGTTCCTTGTTACCAAAGCTACCAGCAGTTGACATGGTCTTTACCACAATGTCTTATCAGAGTGAGAAGTAGCTGTCTTATTCCTGTGCCCAAGCCCGTACAGCACCGAGGCTGTGACAGGTGGTAGAGAACATTGGACCAGAGAGGAATACTGTTATTCTTAGAAGAGGGGCAAGTTAGCTGACATTCATCTGGGGGAGATGAAGTGGCCTTAAGATCACGGGTTCCTGAGTCCTAGGTCAGGCAGCCCACGCCCACCCCTGCTAAGCACTGAGCCAGCTGCAGGTGAGCCCAAGAGTAGGGTCAAGAGATGCCCATGGCCCTCACCTGCCTGGCTCCTCCTTATCCTATAGTGCTCACCTCAGTACCACCTCCCTCGGGAAACTCTCCTCTGTGTTCCCATTCCGCTTCATACTCACCTCTGTTATGTTTATCTCTTTGAATTTAACTGTGTCTCAAGAATATTTTTCATATAATAATATAACCAAAATTTCCAAACTCTTTCTAAGCACCAGATACTTTACATATATAATTTTTATATATGTCAACTTCTTTTTTAAAAATGTCAACTTCTTTACCCACTTATGTTAGAAAATTTGGAGATAAGAGAATATAGAAAATAGAAATAGGAAATAAAAATCTAATGTAATGGCATAGGCCAGCTTTGGTTATGCTTGATTTAGAAAAAAAGAGCATAAACAATTGAGTTTTGGAAAGTCACAATATTAGCATCATCTTTTTCCAATAAATGGAAAATGAATAACTATGGAAAAGTCTAACTAAAATTTGCAAAAAAGAAATATAAGATATGGTGCTTTCATGGTAATTTAAGAAGTTGAAGGTTATCAAAATTATTCTTCCCCAACTCATTAGGCAAAAACCAGTGATACTTAAAACTTGGCAACAACCCACAAAAGAATTTTAGGCCAATTTCAGTTACTAATATGGATGTAAAAAATCTTAAATGAAATAATTGCAATGGAATTTAGCAATGCATTTTATAATAAATTATCACACAGAAGTCTCAAAAATTATTCTGGGAATTCAAGGATGGTTCAATATTAATAATATCTACTAATAGAATATATATATTAATAGTTAGAAAATAAAATCCAGATAACTATTTTCATAGATGCCAAATAAGCATTAACTATAATTAATCCATGCCAGAAAAAAAAACAAATCTGTTAGCAGACTAGGAAGAAAAATAAACTTTATTCATTAACAACATGCATTACCAAGAGCTTACAATGAGTTTCTTTCTTAGTGGCTTCATGGTGTGAAATACAAGTGTGCTCACTGAAGTAAGGGCCAAGACAAGAATGCCTGTTATGACCCCTTCTATTTAGCTTAGATTCTAGAGGCACTGCACAATGCAATAAGACGAAGAAAGAAGAAAGATGCCTGGGAAGGAAGAACAGAATCAGTCCTCACCCTAGAAAGTGTCTACACAGAAAATCAGAATCTATAGAAAAAAACCATTAGAACAAATAAGGGAGTTATTAAGTTTTTAGATATAAGCTCAACATTCAAAACTTTAATAATATTTGTATAGGTTGATACACACACACACATACACTGAAAGATTTTTATAAAAAATTCACTTCTCCCCAAGTTAATGGAATAATGAAGTGGAATTCCAATCAAAACACCAACTGGGTTTTCTTTTTATCTTTACCTAAAACTTATATGACACGGTCAGATCTAGTGGTTATGAGTAAGAGATTTGAAGTCAAACTGGCTAGTTGCAAATCCTGGCTGCACTGCAGACTATCTGCCTGTGAATTGTTTCTCTGTGCCTTGGCTTCTTCAGTGATAAAACAGGCATAATAGTAGTATCGGCTCCAGGGGATTGTTAACAAAGATTGTAGGGGGTGTGGATGCACTGTACTTACTGTTAGGCACCCAGTAAATTCTGAGTTGTTATTAGCACTTAAAGTTTCTCTCTAAATAGCCGCATGTGGTGGTTTCATATGTCATTTCTGCATGGAGTTCATGCACATTCAACTGATTCTCTCTATGTAATGAACACATTAAAGGTGTGTGTGTGGTGGCAGGCCAGGATGAGGAGCCTTTGAGAATTCCTGGGGGACGTGTTCCAGCCAGCTCACCCATTAGAAGCTCTTTGTACTGCAGGACAACCTGTACCAGGTCCTTTATCCTCACACACAGTGTTGTAGGAGCATGGATTGCGGGGATGCACCCACGGATGCATGGCTGGGGTTGAGACTTCCGCTCTCCATGCTTCACTGTCCCTGTGGGTAAAAGAGCTCGGATGATGATGCCCACGCTGTCATCAGAGGCTGATGACAGGACCCCAAGAGAGCAGGGCGGGTTCACAGCAGGCTCTCCGTGAACAGTCCTTTCCGAAGGATTTTCTACACTCCCTCTTCCTTCTCAGCCTCACATTGCCTGCTCCCTGTGAAACTCCAGGGGGTGAGAAGTCTCCCAGATGGACCTGGGCACTGCCTCTCTAGAATGCTGGAGCAGGGTCATGGTTCAGAGGTAGGATATGAAGGAGAAATTGTCTCCTTTTGTGAGGGGATTTTAGAAACGCTGAATAGGTAAATATCTTTGAATAACCATGACTCACACACTGGAGGAGCTCCAGGGTCTCAGGGGTGTTTTGCTGTCCATTTCCATACACAAGTCCGTGGAGCATGCATTACCAGAAGTGGAAACTGAGGGTCCAAGAGGTGCGGCAGCTTGGCTGAGGTCAAATGAAATTGAGCAGAGCTCAGGCCTTGAATTCAGAGCCTTGGATGTCTCGCCTGCTGCTCTTTCTGTGTGTAGGGGCCTGGCCACGTCCCCTTGTGCCAATGTCTCTGCCACACATGCATTGGTTCGTTGGCTCCTTGGTCCTGTAGACCTCTTCTGAGTGGAAGCTGTGTGCCTACTTGTCCAGTCATCACAAAGAGTGGACATGTCATAGTGCTGTTGGCCTGGCAGGGTGGCAGGTACAACGGCCAGGGCCCCAGGAATGCCTAAGTGCACAGCCACACACATCAGCTAAATTCCTGAAGATGTGTATACACACACACGTGCACATGCAACACACACACACACACACGATGCACAGAGCAGGTGTGTCTAAAGAAAGCAGAATCTTGCTCTGCTTTCACATGAACTTGAGCCCTGCAGCAGACACTACACCAATGCTCTGCTCACATGCCCTCAAACCTCAGCATTTGCACACAGGCAGTCCTGGCTTCTGACTGCTGGTACCTGCAGCTCTTTACCTAATGGATTTCCCTGGTTGCCAGACCCCAATCTGCCTGCCAGGCTGAAATCTATAGGAATTAACGCCCTCAGGGAGCAGTGTTCAACCAAGACTGTTAGGAGATGTAAGTAAAGACCCCACCTCCTGCCTCCGTACGTGGGATAACTCTGAGATACTTGTTCCATATTGTTTTCTAGAATTCCTCAATGGAGTGATAGATTTGGTTAAATGCCCTTTCTTGACCATCTCCCTTTCCTGGTCTCACTTCCCCCACTCCCCTACCTATGGTGCTGGGATCATTCTCCAACAAACTTCCAGTACCAAGATCCTCATCTCAGGATCTACTTTTGCAGAACCGCAATGAAGAGAAGTGAGATTTTTCTCTGTGGATCTTCATTTTCTGCATCCTAATTCAGTTTAACCTATCCAAACGCACAAACCAGAGTCCAGGTCTTATGCATACTGGCCACTGGGAAAGAAGAGACAGAGACAGAATTGTTGGGGCCTTGCCCACAGGTGCTGAAATGTGACTCCTCTCCCTGGCAAATGTGGGCCACCTGGGCTTGGACTCTGAATCATTCAGACTGCCTCTTCTTGTGTGTGTAGATAGGGGAGTCACTGTGATAGTCACTGGTGGCATCTAGATGAAAGAGACATTGTCGGCTGGTGCCGTGGCTCAACAGGCTAATCCTCCGCCTAGCGGCGCCGGCACACCGGGTTCTAGTCCTGGTCGGGGCACCAGATTCTGTCCCGGTTGCCCCTCTTCCAGGCCAGCTCTCTGCTATGGCCTGGGAGTGCAGTGGAGGATGGCCCAAGTGCTTGGGCCCTGCACCCCATGGGAGACCAGGAGAAGCACCTGGCTCCTGCCATCGGATCAGTGCGGTGTACCAGCCACAGCGCGCCGGCCGCGGCGGCCATTGGAGGGTGAACCAACGGCAAAAAAGGAAGACCTTTCTCTCTGTCTCTCTCTCTCACTGTCCACTCTGCCTGTCAAAAAAAAAAAAAAAAAAAGAGAGAGAGAGAAAGAGAGAGAGACATTGTCCTTTCCCTGGAGAAACTCAGAGGGAAAACATGTTATCACAGTTGGGTGAAGTTGAGGCCAACAGCCCCGTGCACAGTTATTGGAGCAGCAAATTGGAGCACTGAGTTGGAGTCTTGGGAAAGTCTTCACTAAGCAAATGATACTGGAATTGGGTCTTAAAGAAAAGATTTGGGATGTATTAGGATTTTCATGGCTAAAGGAAAAGAGAAGGGGGCTCTGTATGCCCAGATCCGTAAAGCTCCCCCCTCCCCATACCACTTCTGTTCATATTCCCTTAGTAAAAGAAAGCCACAAGGTCATACCTGAGTTCAGGTAGCAGGTGAAGAACCATCTATGTTGTGCCTACAAGAAGAAAATGAAGATGTGTTACTCAAACCTCAGTCTCTCACTGTTGGGCAGTTGGCTCCTCTGCCACAGTTGCTTTTTGGGGGTGGAACATTTTGATCTAAAGCCAAGGCATTCTTCAGGCTTGAGTCCTGGCTGCTCCACTTCCCATCCAGCTCCCGGCTGATACATCTGGGGAAGATGACCCAAGGGCTTGGGCCCCTGCACCCATGTGGGAGACCCAGATGAAGCTCTTGGCTCTTGGCTTCAGCCTGGCCTAGCCCTGGCCATTGCGGCCTTTGGGAAGTAAATCAGCAGAAGGAAGATTTCTCTCTCTCTGTCTCTTCATCTCTCTTGGTAATTCTGACTTTCAACCAAATAAATAAAAAAGTCAAATAATCTACTGATAGGTTATTATAACCAACAGGTGAGTTTAGCAATGTTGCTGGATGTAAAAGCATGGCCTAAAAATCTATTTCTATTATGCTCCAGCTCTATACTGCTAAGTACTAAATCATCTGAAAACTCTATGGCTTAAAAGAATAGTGCTCATTTTTTATCTCCTGTGGTTTCTGTACATTTTGGATTCAGGAAGGACTTAGCTGCACATTTCAGGGTTTTTCAATGTGGTGCAGTCAGACAGTGGCTGGAATTGGAACAGCCAATGGTTGGTCAGCTGAGGAATGGCTACACATCTTTCTCTCTTCATTGAGACTTAGGGTCTCTGCTGTGGGCTCTCATGCCTCTTCAGAGATGGTAGCCTAAGACTTCTTGCCTGGTGACTTAGGGCTCCAAAGACAAAAGTCCCAAGAGAGGAAACCAGGTAGACTCTACCCCTTGCAAACAGTGCCAAAGAATTTGTGGACTTATGCAATAAGTAATAAACAGAAAAAAAATAAAAAGTAGTTTATAATAACATCAAAACATAAAATATCTAGGGCTAAATCTAATAAAATATGTGCAAGATCTCTACACAGATAACTAGAAAACACTGTTGAGAGCACTTTAAAAACACCCTAAATAGAAGGGCATACCATGTTCATAGACAAAAGAGTTAATATTGCAAATGTCAATTGCACCAGAATTGATCTAAAGATTCAATGTAGTATCAATTAAAATTCCAGCAGGACTGGGTATGTGTGCACACACGTGCATGTGCACGCATGTAAACAGACAAGCTGATTTGAATTTCTACGTAAGTGCAAAGGTCAAGAATACACAAAGCAAGATGTAGAGAACATAGTGAGTAGACTTATTCTGTGGGACAGTAAGGCTTATTATAAAGCTACAGTCAATCCACACAGTGTGATAACAGCACAGGGAGAGAAAAATAAGCTAACAGAATAAAGGATTCAGAAACAGTCCCATGCACGTTGGATGGCTTGATTTACAACAAAGCCAGTACTGCAGAAGAGTGGGGAGTGGTGGCGGTGGCTGCAATGATTTTTCAATAAGTATTTCTGGGTCAGCTGGATATCCAGACAGGCAAAAGGACAGGGGCCAGTGGGAAGTTACTTTTGATGAGGTGTGGCCCTTTGTTTCTAGAAAGCAGGACCACTGATATTTACCTAGAAATTCTTTCTTTTCTGAGCTGTCATTTCCTTCTGTTGTTCCCTAACCTTCCGTGAAGGCCTGTTTCCCACACACCTAACACCAATTCCCACACAGTGTGGATCTCTGTGGATACACAGAGTGGTCCTAGCTGTAGGCCAGGACCAGCAAAGCCCACGCAGGCAACAGCTGCGAGTTAACGGCCAAGCTGGCTCCTCAGTGGGTGGGAGACTCAAGCCCTGTCCTCCAAGTGGCCTCCGGTGTCCTGCTGCCATCCAAGCCCCATTCTGGCTGTCTGCCTCCCGGCCCTTCAGGATGTCAGAACCCAGAACCAGAGGGCAGTGGGGGAGCAACGCGTGGGAGGTGAGCGAGTGGAGACTACAGGTGTAGACAGTTCTCGCCAGAAAAGAGGAGAAGCCACAGCCTCGCCCCCACCCCCCGCAAGTGCTCTGAGACCCAGGGGGCTCACTCTGCGGGGAAGGGAAGCCTCTTCGCTGTCACCCCTAGGCCCCCGTCCGAGCCAGCCGGTCTCCTTTCTCTGCGCACTCCTGCAGACCCTTCCTCACAGCTCCGTCCGGGGGCGGCTCCGCCCGCCGCCTCCAGGTGGTTTCACTTCTGGATCCACTCGCTCCATCACCGAGGCGGCCGGTGCTGGCCTCCGCTGCCCCTGTACGGAGAGTGAGTTTAAGCGCAGCCATCCCGCCGAGGCCCCTTTCTCAGGGCTCCAATCCGCGGGACGAGGAGCGAGGGCACGGTCCTGAGATCCGCGCAGGCAGGCCGCACCCACGTCCCAAAGTATTTTTGTCGCTACCCCTCCTCCCCCATCCACGCCGCTGGGGGCCTCGGCGCGGCCCCAAACACTTGGACCCGGAGTGTCCCACTTCTGGGGAGGGGCGTCTCTCCAGCTTCTCCCTCCCCTCACCCTTGGTGGCGAAAGGCGGGACGGGAAAGGGCCGTCTGGACAGGTGCGCGACCCTCGCGGACCCTCAGGGGCGGACGGACGCGCGCTAGTTGTTGCTGGTATTCGGCTTGTAGACGGTTTGTACCAACTTCCTTTCCCCCCCCCCCTATGGGCCCCGACGTCTCTGAACAATAGCGCGCGCGGGCGGGGCGGGGGGCGGGGCGGGGCGCTCCGCCGGGCGCCGCCCCCGGCCCGCCCCCCGCGCTCGCACTCCCGCTCGCACACTGGCTCCCACCCGCCGCCCGCCCAGGCACTGCCCGCGGGAGCCGCCGCCGCCGCGCCCGCCATGGACGTCCGCCTGTACCCCTCGGCGCCCGCGGTGGGCGCGCGGCCCGGGGCCGAGCCCGCTAGCCTGGCGCACCTGGACTATTACCACTGCGGCAAGGTAGGCGGGGGCGGGTCAGGGGGCGAGGCGGGCGGGGCCTGCCCGCGCCTTCGGACCGGCGGCGGGGGCCCGAGCGTCCCTGGCTGAAGCACGGGGCTGGAGGCACCTGGCAGCTAGGTCCTCCTGCACCGCCGGTGGCACACGGTGGGGGGCGGGGAAGGGAAACGGACGCGGCAGCCCCGCCCGACGGGCACCTGCAGCTCGCCCAACACCCTCGCGGTCACACTGGCGTCCTGAGTTCAGATCCCAGGCAGAAGTGACCCCGACAGCCAGCCGCACGACGACACGGTGACACACGCACCCACGCGCGCTGACATCCAGGGACCCACTGTCACCCACCGGCCGCGTTCTTCGTGCACGGCCTGACTGTCCCGCACAAGGCTGTGCACCCGGACCCGCAGCCGCTCGCCCACGTAGGCTGGCACCCTGCACAGTGGTGCCGCAAGCACCGTCACCTGCCCCGTCCGCCGTCATACCCAGGCACGGCCGGGGACGGTCACACAAAGAAGGCGCTCCGACAGGCACCCGCGCGCACCCACAGGGACTCGCGTAGGCGCACCCTGCCGCTCACAGCCACCCCCTGGACGGTGAGCCGCGGGCACCAGCCTCCCTGATGGTCACGCAGTCGCACCCGGGGACAGCGCGGGCCCCGCACCGCCCGGTCCTCCCCCCACCCCCTCGGTCCTCCACACTCGCGCGCCGGGGTTTTAACTTCTCCGCGCTGGAGCGCACTAATTGGGCGGTTCACTAATTGGCCGTCGCTGCCTGGCGGTGCCTCGGATTGCGAGCTGGCAACGACCAATCAAGGCCTGCCCCTCCCGGGAACGGGGAGCGGGCGCCTCTCCGGGCAGGGGCTGCCGGAAGGGATACCCTCCACCCTAGCCCAGCCAGGGCCCCGGGCCTCGAACCCCGGCCGCGAAGCCACCGGCCCCCCGCTCCACCGCCGGGCCGGGTCGGGGGCTTCGGCGCCGCCACACGGCCCGGGTCCTCTTCGCTGGGAGGGAACTTTCAAACTTAGTTAGGAAACCACACCGACTGTGCGTCCGCGGGTCGGTGCGGGCCGGCCGGAGCCGAGCGCGCACTTCGTCACTCGGAGCCCGGATTGAACCGCGCGCGTGGGTTTTCCTGCGGCCCCGGCGCAGACGCGCGGGCTCCGTGGTGCTGCTCGGTGAGTGCGCATCCCGTGGCGAGATCGGTGGCCCTCCCGGGGTCTCTCGCAGACCCGGCGGGCTCTCGTCCTAGCTCCCTGCCGTAGGGATGCTGTGGGTGGGGGGGCATCCTGGAGCCGATCGCGGGGTGCCCCCGGGCGGGCCCTCGCCGAGTGCGTTCTCAGGCCCCAAAGGAGAGGCCTCCAGCAATGCCCTGCGCATATCGCCTGGGGGCGGGGCGGGTCCGGGGCCACCGGAGCCTGGGCTCGCGTCGGCCTGGGGGTGAGCGGCCGGCGAGGTCTTGTCCAGCGACCGGCAAAGTTAGAAGAGGAGGAGGTGGACGGTACCCCAGAGGTGGCTCTGGCACTGCTTCCAGCCTGACCGAGGGAAGACAGATTCAAAGTAGCAAGCAGAGGGCAGGGAGAAGACTAGGTGTGGGGGCAGCTGGTCTGCGTCCTGCCCTTGGCCTTGTTATTTATTTATTTTTTATGTGAAGTTGGCAAGGCAGGCAGCAGCCTTTGGCTTGGGGGTGGGGACTGGGGATTTGTCTTACAGTGTGGGTGGCTGGGTGGGTGCCTGAGCCGTAGTGCTGCTGGCTCTGGGGCGGAAGCGGGACTCAGCTGAAGCCGGGGTTTCATTCTGGTGCTTTAGAAACCTCTGACTCAGCACCTCTGTCAGGCCCTGCCGGGAGCGCGTGGTTCTGGTTTCTGCCTGTGTTCTAGGAGGCCTGGCAGAGCTGAGGATGTGTCCAGTGGGTGTCCAGTGTGTGTGTCTGGGGGGAGAGTGCTCACCCTGGTCACTTAGATGGGCAAAATAAGGTCTGACCTTGCCCTTGGACTTGAGACCTGCTTCCCGCTCCTTCAGGCTGTGGCGGGATGAAGCAGGGGACAGAAGCAAGGGAGGGGTGGACTGGGAGCTGCTGTGATCCGAATGCCACTTTCCTGGTTTCAGAGGCTGATGGTGAGGAATTGGGGGGATGCCCATGATGCAACCTGGTCACTCTCAGAACTGGAGGGGAAACTGAGGCCCAAAATGCAGCACTGGCCACACTTGGGGCCTGTAGAGTGGTCTGCAGAGCCAGGACACAGCCCACACATTGGGGGCTCTGTCCCTGGAGCCCAGGAGAGGCTCGTTCCATAGGGACTCAGGCATTGGAAACACCGGCACAAGCATTTGCCCAAGTAATGCCCAACAACCATGGGGCAGCTGACCCGGAAGGGCCCTTGGCGACCGTCCCCTTGGCGACCATCCCCTTGGCGACTGTCCCCTTAGAGATCCTTTACTGAGAGATTTCTAGCCTCTTTCAACCGAAGTCATGAGCAGTGGTTGTTCTTTTGTTTGAGAAAACACACAATGACAAAAAGCTGCTCTGTCTTCCTTTTTGCTTTGAAATAGATGTGTGTCTTATTTATCTCAATAATATTGGCATGCATTAGAAAAATAGCTGGGCAGATATGAGGCAGGCATGTTACTTATTGAATGGAGTAACAGTGCTTGATGCGCAAAGCACTGTGGTCCCCAGGATCGGTGGCCCCAAGCTTGTGGCCATTGATCACCTCCTTTTCCCTTGCTTGGCAGAAGGGGAAACTGAGTCATGGAGTGGTGTACTTGCAGGTCACAGAGCAAGTGAAGAGTGGAGCTGACCCCCAGTGTCTGGACTCCCAGCTGGACACTTATCTGGCCGTCCTCTAACTCTCTGTCCTGGTTTGGGGCTTAAGGGCCTCTGATGTCCCTCCTAGGGCCATTCTGATGCTGGTCAGGCACTTCGCCAGGCTCAGGGGTTGTGCCAGCTCCCTGCTCAACCATGGCAGACCGGGGTACTCCGACCTCTGTTTGTGACCCAGGACACATGCTTTTTAGCTCCTTTGTTACTCAGCCATGTCTTGCATGCATACAATAAAATGCAGGTGCCGTGTGCATGGTTCACGAGTTTTGACAAATGTAAACCCTGTGAAATCGCCATCCCCATCCGGATATGAGACTTTTCCATCATCCTGGGGAGCTCCCTCACGCCCCTTTCTACTTAGCACCCCCAGAAGCAGCTGCTTCTCTGGCTTTATCACCAGTGCTTTACTCAAGTTCAGATTAGGTGTGAAGAATAAGTTACAGCACTTCATAAGGGAGGTGGCATTGTGGCGCGGCCCCTTAAGCCACTGCTTGCAATGCCAGGGTCCTGTATTGGAGCACCAGCTGGAGACTTGGCACTCTGCTTCTGATCCAACTTCCTGTGAATGCATCTGGGGAGGCAACAGAAGATGGTCCAAGTCCTTGGGTTCCTGCCATCCGTGTGGGACACCTGGCGGGAGTTCCTGTCTCATTCTTCAGCCTGGCCCAGACCTGGCTCTTGCAGCAATTTGGAGAGTAAATCAGTGGATGAAGACCTCTCCCTCCCTTTTTCTACCCACCCCGGACGTTGTTCTCCCTTTTTCTCCCACCCCATTGTTCTGCCTTTCAAACAGATAGATACATCTTTAACAAACATTTTAAACAAGAACTTCGTATGCATCATAAACATTTTTATATCTGGATTCTTTTTGCTTAACATGCAATGTCTTCAGGATTCGTGCTGTCGCGTGTATTCATGGTTTCACTGCTGAGTAATATATGGTATGAATCCAGAGCAGTGGGTTTGTTCGTGCACTTGCTGATGGATGTATGGGTTTGTTTCCAGGTTGGGGCTACCAAAATTGAAGCTACTGTGAATGTGCTTATATGTAGCTTTTTGTGGGTGGAGCAGATTACTTAATATCTCCGAGCCCTGGGGTTCTCTTGGGGAGTCATCCACCTCTGAGGTTCAGGAGGGTTAGGTGAGGTGACACTGGCTAGGACAGTGCTTGGCATGTACTAGCCAGTGGATAACGGCATCGGTCATCTGGGATCTCTTCCAGGAAGAGGCTTTGCATCTCTGTTCCTTCATCCCTGGTGCAAACATCTTTCAAGACCACACTGAGTACCACCTTTCCCCTGTAGTGCCCCATGGTCAGCCCCATGGTCAGCAACCTCCTCTCTTCCTCCAGCACCCCCCCCCACCCCTGCCCAAGAACCTGAACTACATCGATGTAGTGTGTTCTGCCACAGGTACTTAGTGATCAATTCTGTGTACTAGGCACAGTGTTAGGCAACCAGTGCAACAGCTGTGAACAAAATGACTCAAATTGTTGCCCTTTCCAGCTTACATATCAGTGTGAGAAGTCATAAGTATGGGGGTGAAATACTTGTACAGCATTGGGGTTGGTTGGTAATTCAACCTTGGAAGAAAAGGGAGCAGGGAAGAGGATTGGGGGTGCCAAGACCTGGGAGCTGGTTTGCATTTTATTTATTTATATTTTTAAAGATTTAAAAATGGATTTACCTTACTTAAGTTATACTAAGCTGATCTTCTGTATATTAAGATAATCGAAAATGAATCTTGATGTGAATGGAAGGGGAGAGGGAGTGGGAAAGGGGAGGGTTGTGGGTGGGAGGGACGGTATGGGGGGGAAAGCCATTGTAACCCATGAGTCGTACTTTGGAA